CGTCTCCGTTTTATTTTGCAGCTCATTAATAGCATTTTTAGCTCCTCCTGGCTGTTCCTTAGTCCCTTGATCTCTGTAGCAATAGATTCTTTGCTGTCCTTTATACTGTTTTCAAGCCCAGTGATTAATTTTATGACTATTATTCTAAATTTACTTTCTGTTATATTGTTTAAATCATTTTTGATCAGTTCATTAGCTGTCATTATTTCCTGGAGGTTTTTTGAGGGGCATTCTTCCGTTTCATCATTTTGGATAGTCCCTGGAGGGGTGCGGAACTGCGGGGCACTTCCCCTGTGCTGTCTTGAATAACTTGGGTTGGTGGGCAGGGCTGCAGTCAGACCTGATGTCTGCCAACAGCCCACCGCTGGGGCCACAGTCAGACTGGTGTGTATCTCTCTTCCCTTCTCCTAGGGGTAGGATTCACTGTGGGGTGGTGTGGCCCCTCTGGGCTATTTGCACACTGCCAGGCTTGTGGTGCTGGGGATCTGGCGTATTAGCTGGGGTGGATCGGCAAGGTGCACGGGGGCGGGAGGGGCAGGCTCAGCTTGCTTTTCCTTCGGTGATCCACTTCAGAAGGGGCTCTGTGGCACCGGGAGGGAGTCAGACCCGCCACCAGAGGGACGGATCCGCAGAAGCACAGCGTTGGGTGTTTGCCTGGTGCAAGCAAGTTCCCTGACAGGAACTGGTTCCCTTTGGGATTTTGGCTGGGGGATGGGCGAGGGAGATGGCGCTGGCGAGCACCTTTGTTCCCCGCCAAGCTGTGCTCTGTTGTCCGGGGCTCAGCAACTCTCCCTCCTGTTGTCCTCCAGCCCTCCCACTCTCTGGGCAGAGCTGTTAGCTTATAATCTTCCAGATGTTAAGTCCCACTTGCTATCTGAACACACTCCGTCTGGCCCCTCCACTTTTGCAAGCCAGACTCGGGGGCTCTACTTTGCTGGCGGGCTGCCCCTCCACTCCAGCTCCCTCCCGCCAGTCTGCATAGCTCGCACCACTTCTCTGCCCTTCCTACCCTCTTTTGTGGGCCTTTCATCTACGCTTGGCTCTGGAAAATCCGTTCTGCTAGTCTTCTGGTGGTTTCCTGGGCTATTTAGGCAGGTGTGGGTGGAATCTAAGTGACCAGCGGGACGCGGTGAGCCCAGCGTCCTCCTATGCCTCCATCTTCCCAGCCAGTGTATGTATTTTTTTAATTTTAGAGAGAGAGTGGGAGCCGGGGAGAGGGGCAAAGGGACAGAGAGAGAATCCCAAGAAGCCTCCACACTCAGCACAGCGCCAGACGTGGGGCTTAATCCCACAACCCTGGGATCATGAGCTGAGCTGAAATCAATAGTCAGAAGCTCAGCAGATTGAGCCACGCAGGTGTCCCCAGAATAATATTTTATTGTCTGAATATACCACAGTTTATCTGTTCACATACTGAAGGACAACTTGTTTGCTTCCAAGTTTGGGCAATTATTGAATAAAACTGCTGTAAACATCTATGTACAGGTTTTTGTGTGGACGTAAATGTTTAACTCATTTGAGGAAATATCAAGGAGCATAACTGCTGGGTTGTTATGATAAGAGTATGGTTAGTTTTGTTAAGAAGCTGCCAAACTGACTGTTGCATGCTCACCAACAATGAATGAAGAGTTCGTATTGCTCCACATCCTTGGCATTATTTGTTGTTGTAAATCTTTTGGATTTCTGACATTCTATTCAGTGAGTGGTATCATTGCTGTTTTAATTGGGCATTGCTTTTGATAGAGAAAAGAAAGTGGGCTAACTGGTCTCTTAGTGTGCTGAAATTTCTTTTCATCATGATGATGAATCAAAGTGTAGTCTGATCCAGAGAGGTGAGACATCCTTTGCTATGGCATATCTAAAATGATAGGAAAAGACAGTTCACTGAAGGGGACACATAGCAGGCCAATAAACATATCAGAAATATTTACATTCAAATTAGTAGTATACCATTTTTTATTTCTCACACTGGCCCATTTTCTTCTTTATGGTAAACAACACTAGTGGAAATAGAATTTTTATTTTACTTTTTAAAGTGTATTTATTTTTAGAGAGAGAGCACACGTGCATGTGCACGTGAGCAGTGGAGGGTCAGAGAGAGAGAGGAAGGGAGAATCTCAAGCAGGCTCTGCTCAGCACAGAGCCCAGCATGGGGCTTGATGTCACAACTGCAAGACCTGAGCCGATATCAAGATATCAAGAGTTGGATGCCGGAAATATAATTTTAGACGTAATCTATTGAGTTTATTCTATGCCCATAGAATAGTTAGAGCCCAATTTTTGTTTGAATTAATACTTAATGTTTTGATGATGATGATGATGATGATGATGATGATGATGATGTGTAAATAGTTCATAGGTGGGACACACAGTATATATAATGATTAAATTTTCTTTCTTAAATAGCTTTTTTTCTCCTGGAGTTAAATTTTGCCATTTTTTTGTTTGCCTGTTTTGACATTTCTGTTCCGAATCCAGCACCCAACTCCAACAGAAAGCTAAGTGTAGTCATACAAATTAAGTCTTCCCTTTTTCCCCCCACTTTGAGACTTTCTTCTGTTCTTTTTCTCTTATTTGTTGCCATTGCTCCCAGGGCCTGCAGCATTGCTATGGTACTGGGCCTTGCCTTCATATCTTGAGATTTCCTTTTGATCCTGTTTTCTAGACTCCCATTCTTCCTCTTTTTTTGTGTTAATCCCTCATTTTGTTGGAGCATGTCTTTTTTTTTTTAATCTCTTATTTATTTTTGAGAGAGAGACAGAATGCAAGCAGAGGGGAACAAAGAGAGGGAGACACTGAATTTGAAGAGGCTCCAGGCTCTGAGCTGTCAGCACAGAGCCTGACGTGGGGCTTGAGCCCACAAACTGTGAGATCATGACCTGAGCCAAAGTCGAACACTTAACTGACTGAACCACCAGGCGCCCTTGAAGCATATGTTTCTGTAACTTCTTGAACAAAGGGTGCATGGAAGTTAAATATATTAAGATCTTAAATGTGTGAAATATGTTTTTTTCCTCATACTTTGTTAGTAATTTGACTGGGTATATATTTTTAGACTGAAAATCATTTTCTCTCATAATTTTGAAGGCTCTACTCCACTAATTTCTAGTTTCCATCATAAATGACATTTGTTTTTTTGTTTAACTGAATCTGCCCTTGGGGTTCTGAATTTATTAGTAGGGATAAACATTTTGTATCTTTCTTACCTGTTTCTCGTAATCTATAAATGGGAAGTACATAATCTATAGTTTGCTTTGGCAATGACAATCCCAGTCTCAAAATTCTAGTTAAGTACATGCTTTATAAACATTCCTGAGTAGGAATGCTTATCTAGATGCTATTTAGTGGTAAGGTTGTTTTAGTTGTGGCCACAGATTGAATGTTTGCGTACCGCACCCTTGCTTCTCAATGTAATGATATTAGGTCAGACTTTTGGGAGGTGATTAGGTACCATGATATTAATGTCTATATAAAAGAGACCCCAAAGAATTTCCTCTCCCCTTCGATCATATAAAGATGCAAGTGAAAATGACCATCTGTGAATCAGGAAACAGGTTCTCACCAGATACCGAATATGATGGTGCCTTGATCTTGGACTTCACAGCCTCCAGAACTGTGAGAAATGAATTATGTTCTTTATAAGCCATCCGGTCTGATATTTTTGTATTGGCAGCCTGAGCTAAGACAGTTTTTGTTTTGTTTTGTTTATTCTTATATTGTTTTATTCTTTTTAAAAATTAAAAAAAAATTTTGTTAGAGAGCATGCGAGTGGGGGAGAGGGGCCGAGGGAGAGAGAAAGAATCTTAAGCAGGCTCCACATTCAGCACAGAGTCCCATGAAGGGGCTCAATCCCACAACCCTGGGATTGACCTGAGCGGAAATCAAGAGTTAGATGCTCAACTGACTGAGCCACCCAGGTGCAACCTGTTTTGTTTATTCTTACATTGTTTTGTTATTTTGTTTTTCTCTAAACCTAAATAGTGGGAATACTGGAGATAAGCAGAATTCTGTTTCAGAGCACAAATAGTAACATAAAGTAGTTAAGTTCTCATTTGGATAGGTACTGAATTTGAATCCTCCTTTGCCATCTACCATGAGTGTGACCTTGGCAAGTGTGTCAGTCATGTCTTCTTAGAGATGCCAAGATGATATTACTCATGTGAAAATTTTATCAGGGGAAACACCTGTGGGAGAGAAAATGTGGAGGGAATCTTTAGACTCAATGCTGAACTGACCCCAAGTGAAGGAGAGGGAAGGTTAGGTGAAAGAAAATGCCTTGCATTCTAAGGATGGTTTGGCAAGGTCATTGTGGGTCCTTGAAGTAAAGTCAACAACCATCAGAGAAGTCTCAGATCTCCCAGGAAGGGCCTGACTTAGTATCTCTGCCAACTCAAACACTGGCAGGGAGCAGTCAGTGGGCAGTGTGGCCTTAGAGCACATGTAATGAAGGATTTCAGGGCCTAGAACTGGGACCCTTTTCACTTATACTCCCTGTAGTTGGAGATCTATCTGTAAGGCACATTCTAATGTTCACCACATCCAGTTACCTCAGCCCTGTAAGTCACACTTTCCTCCTCTGTAAAATAGGGAGAATGATAGAGACTTCCTTCTAAGGTTATTGTGAGGCAAGAATATGTGAAGTGTTCAGAATAGAAAGGATTCTTCTTTTTCCTCTTCCTGTTCCTCCTCCACTTAGCTTTTTCTCAGCAGTAGCTATTTTAGATCCAACACATAAACCAGAAACATCCTCCTCTGGCTTACTAAAACAAATCACAGTCTTTTGTAAAGTGTTACTAAACGTGTGTTCCATGGGCCGGTACCATTAGCAACATCTGAGAGCTTGTTAGAAATGCAAATCCCAGGACCCCATCCTGGACCTACTGAATCAGAATCTCTGGGGTAGAGCCCAGAAATCTGTTTTTTTAAGATTAGTGTTGATCCTTGTGCACACTAGAGTTTGAGTAACACCTCTCTAAACAAATCATTCTTAATTCTTCTAGGGAGGAAAAAGGAAGAAAACAGATAAGATCTCTTCAAAAACAGCTACTTAACGTCAAAAGAGAACGGCAAGCTGAGGTACAGGTAAGAATTACCTGGCCAACACCAAAAGTTACTGAGCTGAAACAGCTATGTAAAAGCCATCTTCCTTCCTTCCTTCCTACCTTCCTTCCTTCCTTTTCTTTTTTTCCTTTTTCTTTCTCCCTTTTCTTTTCCTTCCTTCTTTCCTTCCTTCCTTCCTTCCTTCCTTCCTTCCTTCCTTCCTTCCTTC